ACTGCATAAACTAACTCGTCGGAAAGCCAGTCCAACAAGTCTTTGGAAAGACTTTGTCTGGAGAGTTCAGCAGCCCAGTGGTGGCGCACAACAGGACTTGTCGGGCAACGTCAGTCCGAGCACTCATTGGACTGGCTTGTCCAATGAGTAAATTTGTGCAGTGTGGAGATCAATCTACAGAATCTCATTGGGATAAATCCAATAAGCAGCCTAATTTGGCCTGAGGATACCCCAAATGTGCCATTCATGTGAATCCTAGATTCACAAAATTCTTTTTAGAATATACTTGTGCCATACTTTTGAGTTGATTTCAATTTTTCCCGATAAATCTTTCAAGATAAATTGAGCAAGACCTATTGGGACTGGGACAATCAGACCAACAGTGGGCTACTAAGCTACACCACCCTACAGGGACACTTAGTGTTAGTGTAGTGGCATTGAAAGTGGCCATTTTTGTGAAGGCTTAGTTTGACTCTATGCTTCCCTACTTTTTAGCCATGCTAACCATGATTTTTTTCTGTGTAGTGTTAGCATGCCACTACCACCACTACGCTAGAGTGCTTTCAGAGGCAAAAAAGGCCTAAAATCTGCTAAAAAGTGGTATGACACAGCCTGGCTGGCTCTTTTTTATGCACTAGGTGTAGTGTTAGCAAAAGTTCCACATTTCTGTGCTAACAATACACTAACAGTTAGTGCACTTTTGTACCCTGTGCATGTTGGTGTAGCGTTAGCGCACAAATGCAAGAGTACACTCTCAATTCTCAAGAGGAATCCTCTTGGCCATCAAGAGTGTTCATTCTCAATGGCCGGGAGTTTACCTCTCAGCTGTCAAGAGTGTACACCTCAATGGCCAAGAGGAATCCTCTCAGCCGCTGAGACATCAAAAGTGTACTCTCAGTGGCCAGGATGAATCCTCCCAAGTCCCAGCCACTCCCGTGGGGGTATTTTGCTTTTTCAAACCCCAAACCCTGGTTGGTTGTGGAGGATCAACTCCCAAACCAACTGGTGGTTTCTTTTTCTTTTTTTTTTTGGAGTTGACTCCCAAACCAGTCAAAGATTTTGGGGGTTTGAATCCCAAGATTTGGGGATTCCAGGGCTTGAGAGTTGGCTCTCAATTTTTTGGAGTTGTTTAACCAAGCCCCTGAATCTAAACCAAAGATACCCTTGGATTTATATTTCATGGGTTGAGATCTGCTCATTGTAAATAGA